AGCAAAACATTTCCACTAGACCTTGTTGGTTCTTCAGTTTATCCTCCCGGACGAGTTTGACACAGTGGTTCCTTTGCATTGTGTAGACATCCCAGGTATGGTCGTTCGGGGAGGCTATGTAGGTGTGCCATGCCAAGTCCCTTAATGCCATACATTTACGTGTCCTGCTCCTTACGAAAGACTTCATCCTTTTAGGCCGGCAGAGTTTGGTTTCAGATGTCCTTGCCACGAGCTTGGTAAATATGTTGACGAATTCACCGCAGGCCACCTCAGGGGTTAATTCAGCTAAGAACGACCAGCTGGTTGCATCAATGAGGTCGGACAGGTCGTCATAGTTGGTTACGACACGATATTCCTCGGCATGCTCTTTAGGATAATCCGCGTAGCACATGTAATGAAACACTAGCGTCGCATGATCACTGCGGCCCAAAGGAATATCGGTTATCACTCTCTCGACCATCAGTTCTTCATTGGTGAATATTCGGTCCAACATGGATGGCCTGTCAGTTCCCCTGAATCTGCTGGGCGTAGTGACGTGGCCATAAAGCGGGAAGTCTGAAACCAGATTTTGCAGGTCTGCTTTGAATTGCTCTCCTGGTGTGGCCTGGGATTCGAGAGCATGTAAGTTGAAGTCACCGGTGACTAGAATGTGACTGTACTTCCTGTTTATCACTTGCCTCAACGCAGCCATCAAATTGCAGTCCATCTCACGAGTAGACGATGTTGGGCGGTAAACAACAACCAATGGGCCAAGGTCGTTCCCTCTCAGCCGGAAATTACACCAAATGGCGTCAGGTACGTCCGTTTCCGAATCGTTTATGGGTTCGCATTGCATGTTGTTACGAAAATAAAGGGCTACCCCACCACCTTTGCTGGTTCGATCCTTCCGGACAACGGACATGCCAGTTAGCTCGATTTCAGCATCCGTTATCTCGCAGCGCAACCACGTTTCGGTGACAGCGATGAGGTCCCAAGCTGCAGACGCGTGTCGAAGTCTTAATTCAGCTGAGTAGACCTTGGGCGTTTGAGTACATGCGTGAGAGCTTCTCGGAGACCAAAAGTGTGTTAGATTGGATGGATGAAGCAAGTGAGTTTACGCCGACCAATAAAGGGTCGGCGACCAATCGTTTGTTGGATGGGTTGCATATTCTCGTGAGGTATTTGATATACAAGCAGGTATCAGATGCCCCGGATCCCGGTGTGTGCTCGTGCTCTGCTGTGTCCCTCCGGATAGTATGGCTACTCTTGAAACCGTCCCCGAGTCGGGTCCTGCAGTTGGCGTTTTCATTAAGAGTTGTGCCTCTACTGAATTGTCATTAGAAGGTGTTGATGTTCCTGCTGCTTTCAGACGAATTTCTGTTGACAATCTGCAGCGGAATTTAGTCCAGTTCTTCAGTAGGGTTTGTGCCATTAGTTCTGACGGTAACACAAGTTTTAACAGCCTGGGACCGCACCTCTTATAGTTTGGTGATATGGGGATCCTTGTCAACGAAGTGACCACGACATTTTCGAGAGAAAGAGCCTCCCGGATGTAGTGCCATTGCTCGCGGTCGTGCATCTGAGCACCGTCGGAAGAGGAATCAGTAAGCTCAGGAACACCGTGAGCAATCACTGTTTTCTTATCTTGACTTTTTCTGTACCTCTCTTTGTTAGCGGGATCCACTGAACGTTCTTTCCACGGGATTTCGGGTAGTATGCGCACTCCACTTGAGTCGTTGCAGAGACGATTCGCAGACAGCAGAACGGCCTCAGTCTCGTCCACCGAGTTTAGTGTTACCCGAAGTAACCGGGGTTCGCCGTAGTGCAACGCGTTTAGGTGGCGCGAGATTCTTTTTGTTGTCGTGGGATTATCATGTACACCGAATGATGAACAGATGGAACCCCACTGTTTTCGATCATCCGTCAACTTACCCTTAATTGTATTGGATTTGGATTCGGGGACATTTGTGCATACAAGGTTTGGGGCACCATGGTTGCGCCTGGTGGCTACTGGTTTTGGATTTGGAGGCTTAGTAACCGGTGTTTTTGGTGAAGTTGTGAACGGCACTAATGTGTGCCATCCGTGCTGCGACACTTTAGTTTTTTCTAGTCCGGGCCCAAAGGTTACCGGTGCTCTTTCCGGTGTTTGTTTGGCGGCAACCGATGCGTACGTTGCCGGGTTGTTCACTATTGCTGGTTGACTGTAGCTTACGGTCTCGTGTGTACCGAACAGACTACTAGGTGCAGCATACAGTACATAAGTTGAGGCAGGCGCGCTGCAGGCACTGTTTTTACCTATAGGAGGGATAGAATGGAGTTGATACTGCTGGAGGCTGAGTCTTGGGGGTTAGGTTGGGACGCGTGACTCGCTTCTTCGGCCTGATTAGGGAATTCGGGATGTTATTTTCACTCACAAGTGCAGGTCCGTTTCCTCCCAAGGGTGTAACTCTGGCGCTCACCAGTTGCTCGACCGCTTCGGTTAGTCTTTCACACCTCTTCAGTAGCACAGATAGGCAGCTAACAAATGGGATGTAATTGCATACTTGGCAGAACCAAAACGCTTCTGCGGTGTTTGCTTTTGTCGACCCCTTCCCAAAGCAGGTAGTGTGATAGGATTTCAAACACATGGTACACAGCAGACCATTTTTTACCACTTTAGCACATGATTCGCATTTGCTCTTCATACGAGACATGTTCACAGTAGGCGTGCTGTTTTGAAGGGTAGCAAGAGGACAGAGATACTGACGCACCGTTGCGTGGCCATCGGCGCTGGTTTGAGGTCAGCGGGTTCAGGCGTGTCGCGGCCAGATGAGTCACACGCTCCTTAGGGTAGATAGGCGACGTGCGTGCTATCGATCCAGCCGGTAAGTGGGTAGTCAGCGATGCAGCGTAGGATTGAGGCAAAGCAAGATGACTCGGAAAATACTGTCTAATGACGACAGTGGCTGTTCCAAGGGTGGATCAAATTGACGACTATCGCTTTGTACAGCGACTTGAAGGAATGGTAGTAAGGTGATCGGGTGACCCTCAAATGAATGTTTATAATATGACCACAAGCGTTCTTGTGCGACGAGAGGAAAAATAAATCCTCCGATAAGGTTCAAATCCGGTTGACTTCGAAGTTACAAGAGCACGGCTTGCTGGTGATCTGCGAATGATAGAGCCAATAGATGAACAGTGGTAGGAGGAGCTCGCATAGCCACATCGAATGATGGCACGTAGGTCTCTGTGAGAATAAATCCAAAGATTTGGAGGCGAATAACACAGGAGGACACTTTTTGCGACCGCTCGGGTGATACAGTAACGTTATGGCACCATAGCTGAGATGTTCTTCTTTAGCTAACGTGTAATGATAATGAGGATTATCCTTGTTGTTAGTATCCTTTTCGTCACTTGTATAGCACTCCCCTGGAGTTTTCCTGCACGTAGACTACCGTAACGAGCTGAATTCTGTCAGGCGAAGTTAATTGTCAAGATGAACTAAATCTTCTATCCGTCTAGACAAGTCGTTTATCAATAGCCCAATAGTGAAGCTAGGATTCACTTTGATGCCATCTACCCGTTCACCAACACATTCCACAGAGAGGGACTAGGCTATAATTCACATGTCAAGGCATGAAAAAGACAGCTAACATAGCTATTCAATAGGTTACTCCGCATCAGTTACACCGGTTTAGAGCTTGGTGGATAACATAAACCAATTAAGATTATTTGCCTTGGATAAACAATGTCACAGATCTTTACGTTGCGGGCCATCAAAAGCTGTGTTAGATTACGTAAATTACTTTTTAGTTGATGAACTAGTGTGAGAATGTTTACTTTTCTGACTGAATTGGCATCAGTGACAAGATGATGAAGTTTTTAGTACAAAAATAAAATCGCATGTTTGCCACACGTTGAAAACACTTGCAGCTCTGGGTGCGGATGAGAGATCTGGGTGGCCCTCCGAGTCGGGTATTTCGGTCTGGAAGATTTATGAACAGAGCTAGGTTACCTCGTTCGTGTACTTTCTGATTCAACTTTTCTGAAACTCGGATTGACAAGGTAGTGACGGAAAACTTGTAATCAAAATACCTATCGCTGAGAATAACCAACCTCTCTCAGAAGCGTATGGTGTCCTGTCTCCAATTCAGGCCCCTGTTAAGCTTCCTGAAATTGAACAGTGCATGCTGCTGGTGATAGAGCTAGTAGACTTGACTTGGAAAATGCTACATAACATCGATTCGAAGAAAGATGAGAACAGGTGCGTAGTATTGTGTTGGAAGGGAAAAACACCGAAACACCCCAAAACGGATGTGGTCTCAGTGGTCGGAATCACCGAGGTCTAGTTCCAAGTAAACAGCGTCTCCAGTTGAGATCGCTCATTGGAATCCAAGACACGCGGTGGGTAGTCCAAAACGTAACCCAAAATTCTCTCACACTGCTCTTCATGACCCCAGTTCTTCCGCACTGACTAAAACGTTATCACATTAGTTATGCCTTAGTTGGAAAACGGGACTGCCGTTGATGATTGAAACCAAATTCTCGGTGACTCATCAGGGTTTTTAAACGGCTGACAGATGGGGTATCATCAGGCGCGCCTAAAGGCATCTGTCATAAAGTATTGAGGTATCCAAGTGCGTTGACGTTTGCTCAGATACCCAGGTAGCTTAAGTTTCGGCTTGAAACTCGCAGTCATAAAGTTGGCGGCAAAGATAGTAAGACAATACGAACCCCTTGTTTTAAAGATTTTTGGCACGAAGCATGACTTCCCAGCTCTTGGACAATAAGTGCAGCTGGTGAAATGAATGCTCTCGGAGGACTTTCAATTTGTGATCTACTATAACACAGGTTTTGGCAGTAGGACAGCAATCCGTGGTCGGTAGTTGCAGTCTTCAGCAGTGGTTCCTGGTTTCTCAAACTTATCCTTCTACCGCATGGATGGGCTACTAGGAAGATACTCCTTTAATACTGAAATCTTGCTGGTTAAATGCATCCAATTGCAACGCCTCAAATCACACAGGCATATTTGGTATACTTACCCGCGAGTTCTTGCCTCAGTTGATGCTCAGATGATTGCAGACTCAGTGAGCTCTCAGTGAGTCTTGACACTGCTTGCTCGAGCTCTCGATTACGCTCTTCCAACTGTTGATTCGTTTGTCTCATAATGTTCAGCATGTGTTGTGCATGCTTGGCTCTTTCTCGCTCGTTCAGTTCCTTCATCTCTAACACTGCTATTTTCCCGACCATCTGCTCTCCAATCAACGTAAATGGGTCACGTGGCTCCGGAGAGGGTTTCTGCAACTGCGTAGGAAAAGAAAAGAGGACAGCGACTTATTAGTAGGCGGCTAAACGGAGTGAATGCCTACGAACTGAGTTACGACAATAGGCCGTGCCGACACCTTGGACGGGATTTACGCCGCATGCGCGAACGGGCGATCAAATAGGGAACGTAGGTGCGGTATGTGTGACTAGCGATTTCGAGTGTGCTTGGACTATCGTGTGAAGGGGGTTGTACGCTGACCAGCGAACCGCCGAAAAATATGGAACACAGGTGCGTTGTGTGGCTGGCAAACTCGGATGAGCGTCGACGGAGTGAGAGGAGCCCAAGCATTGAGGAGAACAGGTGGCAAAATATTTTAATCTGAGTCAAACCAGGCAGATTGAAAGTGTTCACATTGGTTGAGGTAAGGACGCCAAATATAGCTTTCTGTCAAAACGCTCCTGCGTTACTCGACGGCTACAATTCTACGATCATGTCACGACTATGACTTACAGAGGAATGAAAATCATTATAATTCTGTTGAACATTCAAAAGGCGTTCGACCGCGTGCCGCACAACCCAGTGCTGTCTGTTCTGGAGTCATATGGCATGGGAAACCCTCTGCTACATTGGTTCGACTCATATCTAAACGGTCGAACCCAGCTAGTTAGAATCGATCAACAATACTCTACGTCAAGGCAAGTAACTAGCGGCCTCTTCCAGGGAAGTGTGCTTGGACCACTAGTTTTCATATATATATATATATATATATATATATATATATATATATATATATACATATATATATATATAATCATCAGTCTATAAGATAGACATAGAGCCAACGAAAACCATGAAATGAAAGTAATAACTACAAAGACCAAACAGCAAAGAATGAACGTTACAAAAAGTTATTTTGTTTGTTGCACCTTGTCTTTTCTTTGTTGGTTTTCACACGCCGCTTTTTCTTTTTCGTCTGTTTACTGTTTGCGATTTAAATCAAGTAAATCAAGACAAACATTCGTTCATATTTTCCAATGAGCCCGGATCTGTGCCATCTCCGAAAGAGATCCCAGTCAGCGGTGTTCTTCATTTTTGATCCCCAATACCGAAAGACGCACGGGACCTACGACAGCCAGGCTGAACGTCAGCGCTTTAATCGTTTGTCGACAAGTGATAGGCTGACCACCGCGCGATTTCTTCTAGCCTGTTCCTATGCGGGCGAAGAGAGCGCGTCGGGGCAGCCGTTCGCATGACATGCGTGAAACGTGGCCCAGCCATCTCAGTTGTCGCAGCGGTTACCAGTCTGTAAAGTGGAAGTCCCGTGTTACCCAAGACGCGACATCTAACATCATCATTGCGCACGTCGTTCTTCCACCACACTCGAGCTATTCTCCGCAGACATCTATTGTCAAAGGCCGAAATCCGACGCAAATCATTCACACGGATCGGCCAGAACTCACTCCCATACAGCAGCACCGTGCGAACACAGGCATTGTAGACCCTGCCCTTTACCAGCCGTGAAAAGTCACGGCCTCGCCACAGATGCCTTAAGTTGGCGAATGCCGAACAGGCTCTGGCAATGTGGATGGAAATCTTTTCTCCAATGCTACCATTAGCAGAAACACAGCTTCCCAGGTAAACAAACGTTTCCATTTGTTTACGTTGTGTACCTTGAAGAGTGAGCACTGGGGCAGTTAGATGCCCATCCAGGACCAGGACTTTGCATTTCGTATGGGCAAAGGTCATTCCATATTTTGATGCTTCACTTCAAGCGGTTTAAAACGGCCTGTGTGCTCTGTGCGTCATCACCAAGCAAGGTAATATCATGGACATAATCCAAATGGGTCACACAGTTGCCAGGAAGAAGATACACCAGAACCCTGGGAGCCCACGAGAGTGTTCAAAAGGACATCCTGGGTCGCGAGGAGCTCGAGCAAGCCTGTTGTACACCGCTAGTGACGGCACAAGGTGAAAAGAGCTTACCATAAGGCCTCACTTTACTTGAGTCATTGCAATATGATGCTCGAAGGATGGCAGTATAATCCTTTCGGGAACTCCATTCCTTTGTAAGCAACGCCATATTGCTGGCTGATTGACGGAGTCGAAAGAGGCCCGAATGTATAAAAAAATAACTAGTTGGCTGGCGGTAAAGATGACGCGTTTCAAGGAGTTGACGGAGCGTAAACAAGTGATCTATACACCCTCGACTAGGGCTGAAACCAGCCCGTACTTGACGGGAGTGCAATCCTCGGATCGGAGTTAGTCTACGGAGTAGAATGGATGTTAGCAGCTTGGAGGCAACGGACATTAGACTGATTCCTCGGCGGTTAGTGCATAGGGTACGGGCACCTTTATTGAAGATCGGGAAGAGACTTGACTCGCCCCATATGGATGGAACTGTTTCTTCACATCAGATTTTAGAGAACAGAGCTGTTAGCTGGCTGACAATTACTTCGCCCATGAACTTGTACAGCTCTGAAAGAAGTACGTCTGGGACAACAGACTTGAATCGCTTCAAGCATCGCAGCTCAAGGCGGATCTCAGCTTCGGTGAGTGATTCCAATGAGATGTTCCAAGACGCGCAACTTGGTATACTCATTTGACTCACCGGCGGAGGGGGCTAGCTGAATTGAGTGCGGAAGTGTTCAGCCAAGCGGTCTATACGCCTGTGTAAGTTGCTCAACGTTGCAAATGACCTCACTGACACCAAGTCTTTTGTGACCACTGGCCCGAATGACCTGGAAGAACTTACAAAAGTTCTCAGAGTTGGCTGCCGTTTCCATCCCTCAGGCGTACTGGGACCACCAAGTTGCGCGATCCGCACGCAGCCTTTGTTTAAATTGATGGCTGAGAAGGCGACGTAATGCACTGCTATTCGAATCGGTTGGGATAGCTCTACGAAGATCAAACGATTTCAGTGAGTGTGAAGGAATCCGGGCCTTTATAGGGCGCCTTGTGTTTCCTCAGAATGAATGACTGGAAGTTAGCATCGCTTCACGTAGGAAACTCCAATGATTTTCGATGTCTCGGAGTGGAGTACCAATGAATGCATGCGATAAGGAAGCTTGATAAGTTGGTCGGGTAAATAACGTATGTGACCCGATCAAACACGGACGCACATAACTGTTTGCAGCCGACATTAAACTAGTATAATTCTTTCATCCAGACCAACTACAAATGCGCCTGAGAAGCAGCTGTGAAGGCGTATCCACACTAAATATACCTAGTGAACGTTTGTTAATGGTTTCTCCACAGTAAAATCCCAAGTATTTGGGTACGGATGCCGCATTCCGGAAGGCTCTATCACGCTTGACAGAAACGTGATCCCAACGTCTGGTTCAATTCGCGACTTAGTAATTAGGTACTCCAACTCTTTCAATTTCTCCGAACATGTGTTTTATCACGTTGCGGAAGCAAGGCAGTTATGCGGATATATCACCAGAACTATTTCTTATCCTGAAATACGACTTCAGTCATTCAAGATAACAGTACGACTGACTCTAGAATACTGTACTATCGTTTACAGTCGATTGAGAAGGAAAGACAGAGCACCTCTGGAAAACGTCTAACGATCATTTACCAAGCTGATCATGGGGCGCAGCTCAAACCTTAGTTAGTATGATCACTGTCGACAACTCAAAATGAATCCTAGTTGGTTAAGACGCTTAAAGAACAATCTCGTTCTCTTCTGCAACATTATTAACCAACGCATTTACGCAGACAGCACCGCACTTCAGCTACGGAAGACTGCAGTCTACTCCACACGAACTGGCGGCCAGTTGCTACGCACAAAACTTGTAAGTCATTAAACTCGATCGAATTTTTCTTAGTGAGATACACCGACCTGTGGAACAAACTGTCCCTACAGATACGAATGAGTGCCAACCATGTCACGTTTTTAAATTTCATACAGAATTTCCTCACTATATCAAATGGTTTAATATTTTTGACGCACAACAGTCTCTAGAATCATTGAAGGAAACCGATGCAAATAACCTATGAGCAGATAGTTAATACAATCAGCTTGCCCACTCCATATCACTACCCACAAAACACATCCTGTCTACGTGCAACCTATTATCCCCTACTTATTATTATTATCTACTCCTTTCATAAACTAGAAACTGGTGATACAAGTATCGGTACTTTTTATATGTTAGGTGATCGGGTCTAGGATGCAAGTGAAAATGCAGTATGCGCACTCCCATTATTTAATTTTGTTTCATTAGTATACATCTATGTGGCATAAACCATGAAACTGTACAAATGGTGGCACCCGTTAATGGGCTGGTATACCGTTTGCCCGTAAAAATACGAACTGTTTATTTAGGCATGTTTGGAACATATGGTTGACCTGTAAATAAAGTCGACTTTTGACTGTTGTCTTCACTGCTAGATTGGGTACCAGGTAATACAGCGGTCGAAGTAGTACGACAGTACGAAGTAGTACTGACAGAAGCTCACTCAGCATCGTGAATCATTTGAGGTCAATTCACTACTCAACATTTGAGATGGGATGTGAGTGTCCTATCAGAGTGAAAGGTCGCATCAAAGGACCGAGCCAGTCAACGAATGGGAGACGGACATGACGGATTCCATCCTTGGATGCTGATTGGCCGATATTCTTGTGCGACACGGGGAGCTCCTAATATTTTGTTTCACGGAATCAAAGGAGAAACATAGGCAACTGACAGCGTGATTTATGAAAGTGTATTGGCTATATATATATATATATATATATATATATATATATATATATGATGATGATTGGGCGGCGTCCGTATCCGGATTTGCCTGTCACTGTGATGTCCATGGGGACAGTCACAGGACGCCTGCGCCTACAGAGGGACCATGGGTGGCTTGCGCTGCACCACCCATAGTTCCATCCACACACCCCATATCCGGTGTAAACCCGAAGGAATAAGACCGGGAGGCATGCGGATGGGAACCACGTGTCATCAACGGAGCCGGCCCACACTCCTTCAACAAGCAGAACGGAAGCATTCCGGCCTAATTGGGAATTCATACACACCAGACG